GTGTTGACAGCTTCACTTATCTTGGGAGTCTCATCAGCCCTTGTGGTCTGGTGTGTGACGAAATCTCAGCACGGATACAGAAGGCTCGTCTAGCTTTCACTAACTTGCGTCATTTATGGCGTAGGCGAGATATCCGTCTAGCAACAAAAGGACGGGTTTACTGTACAGCAGTTCGTTTCGTCCTACTTTATGGCAGGGAAACATCGTCGGTAAGAGTAGAGGATATTCGTAGGTAATTAGTATTCGATCATAGGTGTCTTCGAAGTACTGCTTGTATATCCTGAGACTACCGAGTAAGTAGTACCGTTGTTAGGAGACGGGTAATAGGTAAGGATGGTAAATCTATTGAAGTAGTGAAACTTCATCAGCTGAGATGGCTGGGACACGTGTTACGTATGCCCAACCACCGACTGTCTCGACGTGCAATGTTTTATGGTGTAGGAGTAGGTTGGAAGAAAGCTAGGGGCGGCCAGACCAAATCATTGCACAAATCCATGAAGTCACTGACAAGTGGACTGAGCCATGTTGATAGGTGTAGACTACCTGGTTGGTATTCGCGAGATGATAGTAACCAGTGGTAAGAGACATTGAATAGCATGGCTTAAAATAATTTGCAATGGCGAAGGTGCATCCACTCTTTGTGTTCTCCCAAATTCTTATTCTGAGAACATCTCTTATCCATTTTTTAAAGTACTTCTGTAACACCCCACTTAATATAAATAACTTAACAGCTTAAATTAATCTTTGGAAGAGAATTCTGATAAACCTACATATTAAACAGTCTCAAGTTTATAAGTGATAAATAACTGAATATGTTTATTGTAAACAAAATTGCTAACATGGTGTCTTACAACGATTTTTGCTTGATTCATAGACTCATTTTTGTTACATAATTGATACATATATATATGAGAAAGTAAAGGTCAATGAATCGATACACTCGATAGGACTTGATTACTCTTTTATTTGGAATTCGACAGCATAATAATTTTAAATAAATAAAAAATTTGTAGTTTCAATCACAAAGTGATCTTTTTTAAAATACCACTGGAAACCTGGAAGTAATAAATGGCTATTTCGTCCTAGTATAAGACTCTTCAGCAGCGCATATTTGTGATATTGACACCGTTGCATACTAACCTAGTGATCTGGTGATAAAGTGTTTGTATTTAAAGCCGAAGATGCTAAGTTCGATTCTCAAATGTAGTGTCATGGATGCTCACTGCTAAGGAGTGGCATACTTTGACGAAACGGCTATCCAGTGCTTCCGGATTTATAATAATGATTTAACTATGACCATTTCATGAGTTAAACTGTGAGATTTCCAAAACCTTCATAAATAACTCTACCCAAACAAATAATTGTTGAAGAGGGGAATTTACGAAACATGAAAAATCCATAATGATAGATTTTTTAAATAATTTCAAGGAATAGAATGTCCTCAATATCCTACATCTGCTACATATTACTGAATAGTTTAAATTCTAACTAGCATACAATAATTCGTTACCCTACGGTATTATATATATATATGGTCATACAGTGCTGTGACTGAACTCGTTGAAAAGGATTTCACGCCTAATGGGTTGGTCTATTCGTACATCAGTAAGAATGTGTTGATATTTTTCTTTTAAGAATACGAGGTTTGTAGTTGATTATGTTTTAATGGTTATTACATATCATAATTATATTTGTACATACCAAAGCAAAAATGGTTCATCACATTTATTAATGAAAACAAGAATATGCGTCATAAAAGTAATTACTTTATGAAACAAATTTTATTTAGGATGTAAAGTGTTTGTTAATAGAATAACCAGTTGCATCTTCCCAGTTCATGATAGTATCAATATACATTCTCAATTTCACTAATGATCTTAAGATCATTTAGTCATTCAAATACACTTCAGTCGTTAAAATCTGTAAACTTACATTAATATTGAGCTTGAATAATAGTAATAATAATAATAATAACTACTTGTTCAGTACTGTATATTTAAACAAACGGAATTCTACCAGTAAATATTACAGTAATGCAACATTTTGATTATAAAAAGCTTAAATACCCTTCTTTAGTAATGATTTTTTTAGTTAAATACCGTTATTTTTCTTAGCATTAATCAGTATCAACTAAGGTGAAATTGAAAACTAGACAATACGAGATAGTTGTTGACGAACAGTACTAGATGATGTCATGCTCTAACTTCTCAATCTACGTCAGAAATTAATGAACTTTGACTTAGTGGTCATTGAATAGCTCACTTTCTACAACGTCTGAAGTTTATCGGTTCAATGTTTTATAGGTTATAGGTATTATTTATCAAAGATTCAAATGGAAAAAAATACCAAACAAACTTTTAGTTCTCATTTTAATGTTTCGCCAGTTGATATAAATCTGTCGTGTAAATGATGTCCAACAAAACTATTTCCCTAAACCTCAATCAAACATTAAAACATGATCATCATCAAAGCTGAAGGATTTCGTCCCTCTTCGTTCTTACAACCTTTCGTAACATAACAGACATATTAAATAAGATACTGAAGATGTTCGTTTTGACTTACATGCATAATTTCTAATTTGTTTGTTTTATTTTGACATTGTTGCCAAGGTATATATTCAGACTAAATTTCGCCTTCATAAGCTAACAACACAGATAAATTAATGAAGTCACAACATGCTCAAATTTTAGTTTAACTTTATTGATATCAGGCTAAATGGGCATCCTCCTCATCTTCATTAATATGAACACAAATTAGCTACCATACGTCATAACATCTATTTATTTATATCAATAGGTATAGACCTTTGAATACATATAAGACTAAGAAAATGATGAAATCTTGAATAGAAGTAGCATTTAGAAAACCGGGAGATTTCTAAAAGCTTGACACTCAGATCATTTAGCAAACAAAACATATACCAACATTGATCTAATTATTTAGGCTGGTTAGAATAATGATTTATATAAAACAAGATGATCAAAATAAACGTGTAACTGATTACAAAACAAAGGTTAACAACGACCAATTAACTTAAACGTCAGTAAAACAAATTTCTAGCCACTTAAGGGAAAATTCTTATAGCTCACCTTTATCCAAAGTTTAAGTTCATAATTTAGTCTAAAAAGGACACTGAAAGTTTCTTGATCAAGCCAACTAAATCAGAAATTCATATAATAATTAAAGTAATAAACATTTTATTTTTGAGGACTCAAAATTGATTGATCATTGGATGGTGATCAATGTCATACGTGTCAAGTCATTCTTAGTGCTGATCGAATGCTGTCGATCAATTTGCAATGTGGCCACTAGTCTAGGTGGCTCGACACTGCGTGCACTATGTTGAGATATAATGATGGTTGGAGGTGGTCTACAGGAAACCCGGGTACAGGGTTTCCTGTAGACCACCTCCAACCATCATATTATTTTTGAGGACTATCTACTGTCACATAAATCTTTCTGAACTTCTAAGTATAAAATCTACTATTCCTTAAACTATTCTGTAAATACCAAATCAGAATAATACTCTAGTAACCTAACTAGTTAACCTAACATTCATTATGATATCAACAATTGTATGGTAGAAGAAATAAACTTTCACTTGACTAACTATTTCAAAAAGGAATTCTTGTGAACATCATGTAAACAAATTAATAATTTTTTATACAATAAAGACAAATTAATATATTTAAGTATATGTACATAGATATATGTGTTCTATGCTAAATAAAGAAATGCTGACATTGACAGATTATCTGTCTTCAGTATTTATTGTTGTTTATTTGTGTGTTTTTGATACGGATTCATTATATGCATAAATCATTAGAGCCTATATATATATATATATATATATATATATATATATTCAGGATGTTGTTTACGTAAAAAAACAAATAATGGAAATTGATAATCTATGCAAGTTATAGAATGTTTTGTATGGTTATACAGCATGAAGGATTATGAGCAAAGATGGATAGTGGCTAGCTGTGGAATCCAGGACACACGTTTCATTCTATTTGGAACTCGTCAGCTGAATGTGCCTGCATCTCAGAGTTGATGTTCACTTTGAGACTAGAACCAAGTACCGTACTCTTCAAACTAGGTTAGAACCCCAGAGTGAACATCAACTCTAAGATGCACGTATATCTAGCCAACGAGTCGCGAATAGAACAAAACGCGCTTCCTGTACTCTACTACCAGCCATCATCCATCTCTGCTTATAATGCTTATGACCAAATAGAAATATCAAGACAATGTTTACAGAATTTGCACATACCAAGAAAGAGAATGATCATTTACAATCCAAAACATCACTGAGAAGATTCAAACTACCAATACTGATAAATTAAAGAATAAATTCAATTCACATAAAACGTATTTCCATAAATTTCATCTTTTACTATTTTGATTAGAGATTTAAGAGGAATAGAAGAATTTCAAACCAAGGAATTGTACTTATGAAGGTGAACTACTGATTTTAATTATAATTGATTAACGATGAAAGAATCCTACTTCAATGATTGTATGGGTATAGAATCGTTTGATCAACCATTTCTTTTAATATATTTTATGACTTATGGAGAAACGAATTATTAATGAAAAATACTACACATTTCATAAGAGTTTTTACTTTCTTTAATTGTTGAATGCCATTTTGTAAAAAAAAATTATTAGGCGAGACTATAATTTATGGACGAACCAATCAAATTCACGGTAACAAGTTTTGAATTTTGGCGGGAAATTCTTTATTTATTTGACTAAATAGCATCTTGACATTTTAGCTGATGTCAGTTTATCATGAAAACTCTAAATTTAATCCCTATCCTTAACCATCAACTGTAAATCACAATCTTTATCCTTCACAAAAGTTTTAAAACCTTCATCTAGCTTCAGTCAGTGGATGAATATTCTCAAGGTCACTTTAGTGTCACTCAAAGGTCATTCATAAATGATAGTCTCACTAATAGTTTCTATGACATTTACAAAAAAAATTAACTTACCAATTTTTTAGTAACAATTTATATCAGAATAAAACTATAATTAATTGTAGTGCATATAAATATTTATTTAAAAATTTTAACAATATCAATCATTGGTGGAAAGAAATGACTTAACAAACATTTGTAATATTTTAATTGGTCCAAAAATATTCCTCTAATTGCCTATTTCTATTTGAGCTACTATGGAGAAAAATATTAAGATATAACATATTTAGATATATCCTGTTCTCAGTTTCTGTTGAGAATGAAACCCAATATTCACTTAGTATTGTTTGTCTGTAACTTTACATTGATGCTTAGGACTGCAACTGGTCAGTCTTACCCCATTGCACAAGCAAGTGGCTGTCAGGACTCAGTAGCTAAGTGGATAATGCGATGGCGTTTGAAGCGAAAGGTACTGGGTTCAAGTCCCAGAGTGAACATGGATTCTGAGATGCAGGCACATCCAGCTGACGAGTCCCAAATGGGATGAAACGCGCGTCTTAGATTCCACTGCCAGCCACTATCCATCTTTGCTTATAAAACCCAATATTGTCTATGGTTAAACTTATAATTAAAAATAAGTGATAAGATTAATCTCAAATCAGTCTTCGTACTGTTGTAAAAAATGGTCCACAGTCTCAACATTTAGTCATATGATAATTATTTACGATTTTATCTGGATTATCTAGTAATGAAATAAATAGGTAGTAAGATGACTGAGTAAACATTTATAATAATTTATTGGCACCAACTATATTCAAGACACTTATCTCACTATATAAAATGTAATTAATTTAATTTATAGAACCACAATGGAAAATTAACTTTGGTATTTTGAGATGGTGAGAAAGATTTGTAGCTCAGGTAGATGATTTAGATGGAGTTTTGTTTTCTGAGCTAGATGGTTTGGTCTTGGAGATTTCATTATTCTTCTGAACAGTATCAATAGTACAAGCTTCATGTGAACGTTTGTGGAGATGATGGTGTTCAGAAGAACAATGAAAGCTCCAATACTAAACAATCTAGCTAAGAAAACAAAACTTCACTTAAAACTTTCGTGTTTCTTTTACTCGTACTTTGATTTCTGATTTTTTTCAATCAGTAAAAAATAGTTAATAATTAATGGAAATTTAATGTTAATTTGTATTGTTTCTCATGTGCAACACAACAGTTCAATGTTATTTTGTTACTTTTCACACCTTTTTTTTATATTTTTGCTCGGGAATTTATTTGGAATGATGTAGAAAATATGTAGCTCATTTGGATGTTTTTAGATATATTTGGTTCTTTGAGATAGTCCTACTAGAAGGAAACAAATTATTTACTGACAAGTTGTTCTGTGTTTAATTATAACCATTCAACTGAACTTTTTTGTGTCGGTAGTCGTCACTTAGCTCTTGAATAGTAAAACAAAAGAATCAAAGAAATTCTTAGGTATCTAAACTGTGTTCTTAAATAACTGCCGAAAAATACCTAGTTCTAGACTTAGTTGATTATTACACATGCAATGAATAAATAAACAGTATTTCTGCACTATGATTAGTTTAATAATACGAAGACCATTCTGAAATAAACTTGAATTAAAAGTCACTAAAAAGCTGAATTGATTTAAACTCTTACAGCTCAGTAATAAAGTGAATATTCATGGGCTGTATGAATAGCCATATTGAAATCATTGGAAAGGCATTAAGACTCGTGAACTTATCATTGAAATGCAAATTAATAAGCTATCTAACCGAATGTACTGAGTTTAAAATCGAAATAATTCCAAGGTATTTAGGAAAATCTATCTGATGAATTTCGCCAACCTAAAAAAATAAAAATAAAAGGCAGATAAATAGTCATTCCTAAAAATACTTATCTCTAAATACAAAACTGATTGGTGACAAGTGAATTTGAGTTTCTGCACACCAAAGGAAAATACCTAAGAAGTATTTTTGATAATGATTAGTGATTAGTATACTTCGTCAAGAATCGGAAGTAGACATCAAAAGGGTTAATCCTGAAGGCCAAAGGAGAAGAGGAAGATCAAAGAACACATTACGCCGAGAAATGGAGACAGACATGAGAAGAATGAACAAAAACTGGACAGAACTAGAAAGGAAGGCTCAGGACAAAGTGGGTTGGAGAATGCTGGTCGGCGGCCTATGCTCCATTGGGAGTAACAGGCGTAAGTAAGTAAGTAAGAAACAACTGGAAAGGATTGCCCATAACAGGATTGGATGAAGAATGTTGTTAGACGACCTATGCTCTTGCATAAGGAGTAACATGCATAAGTGAGTAAGTAATACTTGGCTTAACAAAAATACAAAGAAGACACATTGGTTAATTATATTTCTTGATTGATATAAATACAAAGCATAACCTGATTCTAAATTCTATTACTGAAAACAAACATCATTTTACAAAGCATATGATTGTTTGCTTACAATTCTAAATGCAAAAGTATTTTATTATTGACAAAGTCAATTTACTTCATAAAAGAAGTTTAATACTTTCAACTATTTGCCTTTTTCTCAAAAGCAAAAGTGATGCTTCGAAATTCTAAACTCAACATAATAAAAGTGAATAGAAGTTGTTTAGTTTGGTGTATTAAATGTTATTTTGTAACTCAAGAAAAGCCACCTTCCATTATTTGTAAATAAGTAGTAACAACAAAATTATAAAAAGGGACAAAAGTATCTTAAGTATTTCCATTATTTCGGTGAACTAAACATAACAGTATCTATGATAATGACACAGTTTGAAGTGACTTTTCCTTGTGAAGTGATTTTAATGAGGGAAACGTTGAAAACTTGAAGGTATTGAAGTAATGAGTGACCGTTTTATTCCAGTTTGAGACTTCTTATGAGTTTACACATAAACAGCATCACATGGTATTGAACCTTTATTTTCTAGGCTTCAGTTTGAGCACCTGGACTGTATCACAGCCCTCACACAAATCAAATGAGATTTGTGCGACGCATATATATCTGTTGCCCCTTTGTACCAATATTTATGTATTTAAATAAATAAATTATTATTATCCTAAACGGAGCAAGAACGAAGATTGGTGAAGAAGAATAATATGACTTCATTTTATTTCGTTAGATTCTCATCAGCTGCTTACAACTTATAATGTTTTAAAATCAACGTTATTACAGATATTGACATAATTATTTATACAAAGGTGATTAGAGATGAATATGTGTATCATGATATAGAGAAGATTTCAATAGAGTGAATGAACTCATAAAACATTTTTGTTCCTGATAAATAAATAACGTTCGGGAGGGAAAGTTGCAGAACATTGAAATGGCGATTAGAACTCATGGAGTTAACAAACATTAGATGATTATGTAATGAAGCAACAGAAAATAGAATAATGATAATAAAGAATGATATGAATTGAAACCAGTCAGTTATGAAATGAAGGAAAATGACAATGATGTAATTAAACTTGAGGAAGAGTTGAAACAATGAATGACGTAATAAATAAAAAGTAGGTGTAATGTTCCTAGGGAAAGAAAAATTTATAACTGCCTCTTTACTTACATATTTACTTACTTAAGCCTGTTACCACCTCATGGAGGAACACAGGCCACCCATCAGAATGAATATTAAGGCATTGTAGACTAATTATTATATTTCATGTATTTTTCTTTTCTAAATAGACATGCGATCATATTTTGAAAGTAACCAAATCATATAAAATCTTTAAATGGAGCAAGATATTTACAATAAAATCTTTTAATCAACTTAAAATTAGCCATGCTTCCATTGTAGTACAGTAGTAACATGAAAAAAAATCTTAAAACCCATACTAGAATCATCTTATTTTGCCTACATTATTGAATAATCTGAAGATAGGTTTTGTAGTAAACTAACATCAAGCTGGAGAGCCATTGAATACCCTATAACACAATATAATACTTATCATTAGTGTCCCATACATGAGACTGAGATCATATCCAGAAACTTCGAGTGTTACGATCAGAAAAATATATTTAATCTACTAAACTGAAGCAAAACCATCTAACTATAGTAGTGTGTGTACTTTGTTTAAGAGTCTTAAAAGTTAAACAACCGTTTACTTTTTTCCATTATTTTCATTGATACTTCAATGATATCATTTTAAAATGAAAACCTTATGAAATCTAACCCATAAAACATTTTTAAGAAAATCAAAGTTTCAATAAAATGAAATTAAGCTAACTTTAATTTCATACATTAACCATTTAGATTAAGATACCCCTATGAATTATCATTATTATCATCATCATTATGCTAAAGTCTATTTTAATTATTTTATTTAAAAAAGAGATTAAACCCGTTTAAGTAGCTTTTTCTAATCACTTTTCAAAGCATTAATACTAATATATACAGTAGATATTTAAGTAGTTCACTCACAATTAAACAAAAAGATTATCAGTGGGGTTGTTCGTGAAGTTTTTTAGTAATTTTTATATATAGTTGAAATCATGAGTCGATTGAAGCAAGACTGATAGATCCTGGGTTCGAATCTCGCGAGGTGGGATCGTGGATGTGCACAGCTGAGGAGTTCCACAATAGGATTAAACGGACGTCCAGTGCCTCCAAGTTTTTGATGGTGGTCTAGCTTCAATTGACTCATGATTTCAACTATATATAAAAAGATTATCAATTAACAAAATATATTTAATGTTCTCTAATTAAAAGATCGAATTTGTTATTGAAAATAAACTGGAAACGACTAATGAAATGAGATAGTTAATAATATTAAAAAAGATTATGCTTCACATTCTAAATAAAAAGTATTAAGTGTTGTTTCTATTCCTTTTCATAAGATAACCAGATTGTAAGTTTGTTTGTTTGTTTTCCTCTATTTCAATTGTTTATTTATGAGAACATACTTGTTTATTAGTAAAAAAAAGAAAAAAAACAATTTCATTAAAACAATTTTGAAGGATAATAATATAGAATACGATGCTCAGGAAGCTCTAAAATAAGGTAAATGCTTAGTAAGTAAGATAAAAAGGTTATCATGTAACTGTTCCTTTGTTTTTATTTACAACCA